CACAGCCGGGCTGCCCTGAACGCCAGCCTGAAGAACTGCACTTGGACAGTGGATTCCCCCTGTGCCCACGGCGCCCACCGCGCCCTCACCCGCTTGGGTGAGAAGCGTCTGTCCAAGTTCCACTGTGCAGACCTCCTGATGGTCCCGGGTCACACCGGCCTCCGGGGCGGAACTGCTCAAATTGACCCTGAAGGGATCACCCAAGGGTGCTAGCGAAAATGCTGATTCCTGGCTTGGAGGGGAGGTGGGAGCTGTTGGGACCAAACATGCAAGTGAGGAGACTGATCTTACTCAGGCTGCTGCAGGAAGGACAGGCCCCACCCAAAGATGGGAGTCTTGCCAGCGTGGTCTTGCCTTGGATTTTTGGGGGGAAGGCCACGAGTCACTGGCAGGGTGACCTGGAGCGTCAGCGTCAGCAGCAGAGGCCATCCAGTCAGTNCGCCTTGGACTTTTGGGGGGAAGGCCACGAGTCACTGGCAGGGTGACCTGGAGCGTCAGCGTCAGCAGCAGAGGCCATCCAGTCAGTCAGAAGGGGAATTTTCACCTGTGTCCAGCTGGTTTCACGGGCAACACTAACCTCAGCTAAGCGTTCATGAGACAAAGAACAGGAGACGGGGGTCTGTGTGTAAAAGGATCTTCAGTGAGCCCCGTGGGGATGGTGGTGAGGGGCGGACGGCAAGTCCTTCCTGCACTGCACAGGGAAGGGGGGCTTCCCGGGTCCTGTTTCCTGCGATTCAGCTAAGATCTACCCTTTTCAGAGCCAATAATCCGCATTTCGGACAAATGCCCAGTGACTCGAGGCAGGTGGAACTGGCCCAGGCTTGGGGAAACTCTGCTTTGGGGGGTTGGACCGGCGCAGGTGCTGCCTGTTACCCCTAATATCACTTTGTCCTTTCGTGGTTGGTGTTCTCCGGCCCGTCCCCTCTCACCTGAACTTGGTCTGGCCAGAACCACCCCGGGTGTCCCCAAGACAACCCTCGATGCTGGCGAGGTGGCAGCTGCACCCGTAGGGCACAGGCCGCTTCCTGCGGCTTCCTCCCGTCCCTGCGCCTGGCCCGGGCCAGCGGGATACAGAGCGCGGCAAACAGGGCAACCTGAAGGTACTCTCTGGGCACCGGCTCCAAGCTGCGGCCAGGGGATGCTGCAGGGCCAGTTCCTAGCCCCTGGTGACCAGGAGCTGGCTGCCCATCGGGGAAGGACAAGGGAGGGAGCAGACTCTGGGAGGCAGGTGAGAGCATGAAGCTGTGGCATCGGGGGAGGGACCTGGCTCGTGGTGACGGGGATAGAGCCCCTCCACTCCCACACGCGCTTCACTCCGACCCTGCGGGTTCTCACGGCGCCTCCCGTTGGCCGGCCCGCCTGGAAGGCAGACGGGGGAGCCCAGGGAGCAGCCTGTGCAGGCGGCCCTCAGGGTGCAGAGCAGGTGGGAGGAGGTGATAGCAACAATGTGTGTTATGCAATAATTAAAACCTAACAGGGCTGTTTTAAAACATAAAGCAGTTAACAGGGAGAAACAGCTAAGGCAGCTGACTGCTTGTGACCCATCCCTCACCTCAAGTTGGCTGGAGCTCTGGCCTTCTCTCGAGGGTGTCCTGGGACGGTGCATCGCCTGTGTAGCCACGGGGAAAGGCCCCCAGGCTCCCAAGGTGCTGTGTTGAGACCTGGGGGTGGGTGCAGGACTGATCGGGCCCAAGGAGGGTGTGCTGGTCAGTGCAGGTCCACGGGGTGAGGGCATGGTCTCCCACAGGACTGCTCTCACGCCAGACACTGCCCAAACTTTAGGGGTCCCAACCACTGGTGCTTCTGACAAGTGGCAATTAATTTCAGGGGTTCCCACCACCTCTTCTGGTTCAGTCATTTGCTAGAATAGCTCAGAACTCAGGAACGCGCTATAGTTTTACCATAAAAGATACAAATCAGGACCAGCCCAAAGAAGGAACCCACAGGGCGAGATCTGGGAGGGCCTCTAGTGCAGGGCCTCTGTGCCCTCAGGTGCCATCTTCCTGGCACATCCGTGTGTGTCGCCAACCAAGAGGCTCACGTGGGTCTCCGGTGTTTGGAGTTCTTATTGGAGGCTCATTATGTGGGCAAGATTAAGTCACTAGTCACGTGATTGAACCCAAGCTCCAGCTCCCCTCCCTGGAGGTCAAGAGGTTGGCCTGAAATCACTTGGCTCAGAGTCCCAGCCCTCCGAACCCCTGGTGGTCTTTCTGGCCTGAGAGGCCGTCATCCTGAAGCTATTTAAGGGCTGCCCTGACCCACCCCCTTAGCATAAACTCAGCTGAAGAGTTAGAGGCTGCCTCCCAGGAACTGGGGACAAAGGCCAAGTCCTTTGTTATCTAACCAACATCTCCCAGCAGCTCCGCAGGGACAAAGGAGACCCCCACATCACCTCCGAGGGCTGCCCTGGCAGTCACACGCCTGTGCGGACGCTGGAGGGTGGTGATGTGTCTAAAACTGTTCCCCTGATGGCCCAGGTACCCAAAGCTCAAAAAGGGGTCAGGAGAAAACCCCAGTCCTTCCCGGTGCCTTGGTGGGAAATGGCCTCTGCTGCCGGGTGTCCTGGCGGGGATGCTGGTTTTGCCAGCGCAACAACCAAACAAGGCTTTCCAGGGCTGCCATGCTGCTTCTTCATGATGCCATATGTTTGGGCTTTACATAGCATTCTTCTGAGCAAACATCACCTCGGGGACTTGACTTCCTTGTAATTCTTTAAAGGGATCCCGGTTTGTAGTCTCAGGAAGTTAACTCTTTTGATTTATTGAGATGCTTGGGGGTGAGATAAACCCATCCATGCGGGCAATCTGTGTGAACGCTGTTGCCACAGCGGGCAGTGTGGGTGACACGCTCGCTGTAACCGAGGAAGTCACCCGGGGGTGACAGGATGGAGGGAACCGGCCTCTGGTGCCTTCCTTCCCCACAGCCTCGGGGTGTCCTGGGTGAGATTCTTAACTCGTCAGTGCCTCTGTTTTCCCATGAGAGGGGATTAACAACGCTTGCTCCTGCCGCAGGGAAATATCATGACAGCTGGGATCTGTTTGAAACTCCTTAAGCGGGGCTGGGGAAGGATGGGAAACAGATGAAATAAAATTGGTAAAGTGTTGGTAAGTTTACAGCTACACGATAGGTGCACAGAGCTTCGTTATTCTCTTCTCTCTACTCCTGTGCATGTGAAAATTTTCCAAAAAAAAGGTTACAAATCAATCCCGACCCCTGCCCGTCTCCCGCAGGACAACACCTCCAACTGGAGCCATCCTCAGCGCACCTCCGGCCCCCGAGCAGGATCCGCGCAGACACAAGCCGAGTCGGACTCTGGCCCTTGAGTTACTGCATCGCACCTTGAGCGCTGCCGACAAGGAGACAGAAAACAGATTAGGGCCCATGGGGAGAGTGGCGGTGAAAGGCGGTAAAACTTCCAGAGCGTAGGATGCTGCCCAGAGGGGCCGATCTTCGTGTGACAAACTGGCGGCCCATCTGGGCAAACCGGTGATGTAGGCAATAAATCTGCAATATATCAAAAATATATTGCCTGGAAGCTGACAGTTTATTTCTGAAGTTCCATATGTGTAATATTTCCAGTCTCCTAAATGGAAAATAATAAATTTTTATTTATAAATCACTGGTGCCCAGATGAGCTCACTGAATAAAAATAAGCTGCCACAGAAGCTGGTTAATTTCTGCCAACCCGACACCGGGTAACAGTGATTTACTGAGTTTGGGGAACCGGTGGGCCAATGGGAGAAGCCAACACACTGAAGACATTGAGCTGATCCCAGCACAAAGTCTATATTGTGGAGATGCAGTGGTGTTTATGAAACATACAGCACTGAACTATGTGCCCTAAAAGTAATCAACAAACCTGTCCCTTCCTGAAAGAAGTACGTTTGAGAAGATACCTGGCTGGCTTCCTGCAAACCCCTGAGCTTTCTATAATAGTATAAGGAGAATTAGCTAAAGACCAGTAATAGATCTGCTGAAAAATCTCATAAAGGACCTTGTTGTTATGTCAGAAACAGGCCTCCGTGTTCTGGATGTAAGTTCGGCTCAGACGGTGGCACTGGCTGGGGAGGGAAGCACAAGGTGTCATTCCTCGGAAACTGTGATGGGATCCACCTCTCACGATGACCCCGAAGAAAGGCGATGTGGATCTTGCCGAAAGTGGGAAAAAAAAAAAGTGCCCCAAGTGACTCTGCAGCTGAAAGACCCCCTGATTTCCCTAAGACAGAACGAACATGAGTGTACAGAGAGGCCTTCGGTAGTTCAGGGTCGCTGATGACAGAAACCAGACGGGAGTGGAAGCTGATCCCTTTGGTGAAGGGGCGGTCAGTCAGTGCAAGTAAGGCTTACAGGGGGACCTTCGATTAAGTAAGAAATACTGTTAAAAAGAAAATTAGGGCCCTGGCTGGGTAGCTCAGTTGGTTAGAGCGTTGCCCCGATACACCAAGGTCGCAGGTTTGATCCCTGGTCAGGGCACATACAGAAGCAACCAATGGCACGTAGATAAGTGGGGAAACAAATCCATGTTTCTCTCTCTCTGGTTTCCTCTCTCTAAAATCAGTAAACATTTTTAAAAAGAAAACTGAAAACCTTTGTGTATAATTACGCAAATCTAAACTAATTATAAATGATCCCGTCTCGTTGCTAAACAGGCCCCTAACGATTCTTACTAGGCAGGAGTCTGTGTGCCCCGTTCCTGTTGAGAGGAGGAGACCCCGGCAGGGTGAGGCCCCGCCCTGACCTCGCTGTGCCGGGGCTGCCTCGGGCCTGGAACTTGTCTGGACAGTTTTCTCCCCTGAAAATGACCCGGATTCCTCCTGGCCCTAGAATTCGTGGGCGCATTCTGTCTTCCTGTAACGAGTTCATTCTTTAATCTCTCCACTGATTCTGATTTATATTTGCACATAACAAAGGTTTTTTATTTATAGGCAAATACATGCGGATGGAGCGGAAACAAGAGTGCTGTCCAGTCCGACAGGCAGCGAGAGACATGGTGAGACAGACACCGAGGAGGCCGCTCTCCAACCGAGCTCGCAGGTCCAGCCCAGGCCTTTGCTCTCTCTCTCTCTTTGAAAACATGCTGCAAAAAATGAAACTCTGTTCTCTGGTGTCTCAAAAGATGGTAAACATTCATTTCAGGGAGATTAGGAAAACAGCCAACAATGAGGGGGCAAGAAGACATAGAAATTTCTTAGCTCGATGCTCCTTTTTGTGCTAACTTTGTCCCAAGTGCAGGAGGTCAGTGTCCAGCTCTGCCCCGTCTCCCTCGGGCATCCACCTTTTGCCCCCCAGGCGGGGCCACAGCAGATCTATGTCCCTGCAAAGGTCAGTGTGGCCAGCTGGCGGGCGAGGAGGTGACAGAGGGTCTGGGGGCCAGACCACTGAATCTCTGCCCCTTGTCCCTTTCCGTCCCCCCCACCCCACCCCACCCCT